GAATTTGGTGTTGGGACCCCGACTTGTCGCCACGGCAAGCCTTCACGGCTCGTGTCTCAAGCCAGAGGGGGCATCAAGTAGATAACCTAGCAGGTTGGGCTGTGGCGTCCAGAAATGTTCACGGAGATCTGTGCGCATATATATATATATATATATATATATATATATATATATATATGAGCGAAAGATAGGCCATTCCTTGCCTCAGACCTTCCCTGCTGCTGAGCACTGCAATGTGCTTGCGGCGGGACTCAATGCGTGCCCACAGGCTGAGTTTCATGTACACTACCATGGTGCCCTCGATGCGCACAAGAAGCAAAACTTCCCGCTCGGATCTATATGGTGCCTTCAGTGCTCGGAAGGGCCGTGATGGACCCCATTGGACACAGGCTCCGCAAAAACAGTGCACACGTGAATGCTGCTGAGCTGACCCCTGACTCGGAATAATGGCGACATGCCAAAGGTAACGACGCTGCTGACCGCATGGCGAAGATAGCAGTGCCAGGGGTCCCCAGTCTTGCAAGCTAGAGACTGAACTTGCAGAGAAAGAGAGAGAGAGAGAGAGGCAGCAAGCTGCTAGGCAAATGTTTGAGGTTTGTTTCGGAGGCCCTCCAGCTATGGCCCACCGTGGCCCCAAGGGCGGTCTCAAGGTTTAGATGAGCCTGTCAAGTCCCCCAGCCCGCCAACGGGGAAGGCGGCGGCGGGGCTGTCCTGGGGATTGGGAACTCCTCCTCCGCCTCCTCCGAGGTCCCGTGCTCCCAAGAACCCCAAACCCAGAAGGGCCCACCTGTGGCATGAATTCATGAGTAGGTGGAAATGGGCGGCGTGCAGAGTCAGGTGTGGCAGCGAGAGTCCCTGCCATCAGGTGCAGCGAGCTGTGTCCAGGATATCGCTAGTTTCACTCTGCCATGGCCGCCACCAGTCCCCCAGGTCACGACATCTACCACATCGGATATTTAGACGAGATTGTTCCCCTCAGCATTTTGCTCTGCCGCAGATGCGGCTCCTTCACATAGTCTGATTCCCGAGGCTTTCCGGATTGCCCGAGGGCGTGCCCGAACAATGGTAGCGCTCTCCAGTCACAGCGTGCTCTGGAGGACAGGCACCCGAAGGGAACTGCAAGTCCGCCGATAACGTTGCGCCTCCCGCTGCCCTCTGGCCCCAAGTCGTCAGACAGCTCAGGGGTCCTCATGCCTAGCAAGGCGGGCCGAGACAACCGAACTCATCAATCAATCTGCGTGCTGGTCCCTCCTCCCTCCTCCCACCCGCCCCCGCTCACTCCCCAGCCTCCCCCCCTTCCCCCCCCCTCTTCCCCACTCTCCTCCGACCCCTCCCGCCCGCTCTGCTGGCAGACCATTGAAAAGGAGCTGTCCTGGGGGCGCGCGGACGACTGGCAACCGAAGCCAGAGCGGGCGCGATCCGGCGGGATCTCTGGTCAAAATGGCTGCGGCACCCCCTCAGGGACCGGCGGCGACCAGCGGCAGGGATAGGAGGGAGGAGGGGGGCACCAAATATACACCAACACCGATCCTGGCCAGGATCACCCTGGGCCCAGGATCGGTGTATACGCCCTCCTGCCTTGGGCAAGAAGACATATACACCGATCCTGGGCCCAGGGTGATCATGGGCCAGGAACGGTGTTGGTGTATAGTTGGTGCCCTCCGAGGGAGGAGGGGGCAAGGGAAGAGGGGAAGTGACAGAGCTAAGGTACAATACTGAGCTCCGCAAACCACCACGCAAATCTCTACACGCCTCCGAAGCAAATACACAGTAGGAGATGGTGTTTGCTACTGCGGTAGTTGCTGCGACGATGGACAGGCACTGCGACTCGCAAACCGTCCCCTGCCTCCAAAGGATGTTTCTCCAGAATGTTCATCACCGTCCCCCTCAGAATCCGTTTCCCTCTCTAGAAGAAGCAAGAACAAGTAAACATAAACCTTTGGCGCTCCGCGCGGGCGCTGGACCCCCCTCCCTGGCGCGCGGAGCGCGCCAGGGGCGGCGCCAGAGGCGCCGCCGGGGGGCCCCGGCGCGAATCCAAGAAATCAGCGCGGAGCGCCAAAAGTTTGTGTTTATGTGGTTTCTTCTTCTTCGATTCTCGCCGCATCCCCGTGCTTGTCACAGCAGAGCTCGCTGTTTCAGGCCGATCAGGGCAAACTTCTCGTGTCATTTAGCCTCGCCTGCGGCCCCTGCGGCCGGAGCGGCAGCCACCGCCGGGACCGCGGGCCGTCCAGGCCGCGCACGGCGCGCTGATCGCGGGTGAAAACATGGGGAGGCAGGGGGAAAGCCTGAGAGCAGAAGACGATGCCCACCCCCACCCTCCTGCTCACCCCTCATCCTCCAGCTCCACGTCCTCGTGTTCACATCCCCGGCTCTTCCCACCCGCCGCTCGCGGAGGAGTCTGGGGTCAGGTACCTTACTGGGGTTCCTCGCGCCAGGGCCCAGGACGAGGCAGGAGGAGGTATGAGGAGCAGACGAAGGATGAGAAGGCGGAAGGGAGGCGGAGGCAGGAGGATGGAGCAGACGAAGCAAGGAAGAATGAGCGAGATAAGAAGGGGCAGGAGCAGGAGGGTGGAGGAGCAGTACGGGAAGACGACCAGGATGGGAAGAGGGATGACGCGGAGGAGGACAGGCAAGAAGAGGCGGACAAGTCGCACACGCCGGGGATGCGAGGCAGGGTCGATGGCGGGGCACCTCGCCGCCGGTGCCGCGACGCAGTCCAACACCGAGGGTTAAGAAGATACCGGTCGAGAGGTGCAGTCGTGTCCCCGCCGAGAGGAGGACGGGTCGCCCAAGCCCTTTGGAGAAACCCTCCACCGGGGCTCCGTCCCAACAGAGGCGGGGGCGCTCTCGGTGCCCCCGCCCCCACACCGCCCCTGCCCCGTCTCGTGGTCGGGGGCCGAGCAGACTGGGGGGCCCTCGGCCCCGCGGCTCCCTCGGGGCCTCGAGGTGCGTCGGCGTCTGGGCCCTGCGTGGAGCGGCTCCCAAGCGGAGTGCGCAGGGCCACCGAGGACTCCTCCTCCTCCTCCTCCTCCTCCTCCTCCTCCTCCTGGACGACGACGACGACGGCAGACTCGGATCATTGGGCCACACTCGGGTAAGAACGATGCCCAGCCAGAACTGCTCCTGGCCCTCCTCCTCCTCCTGCTCTGTCCTCACTGCTCCGTCCTCATGATCCAGCGATGTTGCCACGAAACGTCCAACCAGAGAGAACCTACTCACCACTCCATCCTCTCTTGTTCTCGCTCTGGTCGTCGTTACCAGTATCCTCATCAACGTCGATGTCATCGTCAACGTTATCCTCCTCTCCTTCCTCCGTCAGGACGGATGGTGGAGCACCGCAGGCGCATGTCCCTGTACGCGGGAAGAAGAAGAAGAAGTGCCTTGATGACGAGGCGCAGCCACGACGCAGCACGAAGTGGGCATCAGAGAGCGATGGGCATGGCGAAGGGATGCCACCGGATTCCCCAAACAGCGCTTGCACTTACAGATTCTTGCTCATCCTCCAGGGCACCGGACTGGTGCGTCGGTCCGACGGCTGTGTGGCCGCTGTCCCCGCCCAGGCGCCGCCTCGTCGCCGCCCGTCGTCTGGGACTGTCTGTCGGTCTGGTGGCTGGGCTGCCGCCGTCGCCGCCCGCATATACTGCACGACACAGACTGCACCACAAGAAGAAAGGTAGAGGCTGAATGGATTCAAAGTCCCTGGTGGCGACATGTTCCCCTGATGCACACCCAGTCGCGCAGTCGCAGCCCCCCTTGCCCGATGATTCCTGCGGTGCCCGTGCAGCACAGCCCATGGGGGCCACATTGCAATGCGGGCCTGACTGGAGTAGTCCCGACGTGGATGCCTCAAAGTACCAAGGCGGCTCATCCTCCGCGTGGGGTGATAACGACAACGAAAAAATGCACGTAGGGACCACAGTGGCAGAGCAGCGTCTCCACTCCCAAGGGGGTCCGAGCCGAGAAGCCGACAATATATCGCAATCGCCACGAGCAACCAAAATGATCTGGATGTTTGGTATTCGACGGGTTTGGAGACGGCATGGGTTCCCATGATTACGCGAGACTCTACTGCGAGCGTAGACGATCTTTCTAGATGCTCAGAAATCCAAGCCATGTGAGCGTTTTGTTTTATTCGGCGTTTCGACCTTGGGCGGAAGGGGGGGGGGTCTGGCTCCGGGCCTCTGCTTAGTGCGACTGTTTGTAGCAGTGCAACCTACCGGGGAGACTCCACCTGCTGGAGACAGGCGCCACAAACCAGCCAAGATCTACGCCATGGGGGGGGGAGGGGGGTCTGGGGGGCCCGCGCCGATCGGCAAAACAATGACTAAAACAAGATCACCACTATACAATGCCGATCTCCCAGAAAATCAACCCGCTGATGACCTGGCCGAAGCGCTGATGCTCGGATCACTAGGTTCGGGGCCTCTCTCGAAACCCCCGACGAAGCTTCAGCAACGACACCCACGACTTGAACAAAGAAACAACAAAATAACAAGAGAGGGCAAACGCAGAGGACACTGTGGCGTCCGAGAAACCGCAGAGGTGGCCGTGCTCGGTACTGACTTCAGGTCAAGTTTCGACCGCACTCGGCAAGCACTGCTCGTTCGCAGACTCTTCCTGCTCCCCTGAATGCCTCCCAGAGTCGCAATCCTGCTCTGATCATGGCTCCCAAAGACCCCGGAACTGAGCAGCAACGCTCTCGCAACCCATCTTGGACCCGGAACGTCTTCTGCTCCTCCAAGCGCGAGGCTCCTCCTCCTCCTCCCCCTCCCCCTCCTCCTCCTCCTCCTCCTCCTCCTCCTCCTCGCCCACGACGGATGCAGTCCGAACCTGCCTGACCGCGAGAGACACCGGAGGGAGGCTCGAGAAAAGTCGCCCGGCTCCACGCACGAGCTGGGAACGCCCGTGCGGAGGCGCTGGGCCGGGCTGCCCCAGCGCCTCCACGCGTGGCCCGCCTCGGGCCGTCGGGCCGCGCAGGGGCGGCGGACCGGCGGGTCCGCTCACTGCAGCAGCTTTCGGACGGGCGAAAAGAGGAAAGACGGGTCATTCCTGCGCGCCAGGCGAGGCGGCGCAGGGCATGGCGGCGAGGGGCATCGCACGCCGCGGAGGGGGGGAAGGGAGAGAGAGAGAGAGAGAGAGACCGACGGTCCGAAGAAGCTCCCAGGGGGGGCCCTCAGAGTGGAGCTTGCTCCACCCTGACAGGAAAACGAGGAGGAGGGGGACGAGGAGGAGGAGGAGGAGGAGGAGGAGGAGGAGGAGGAGGAGGAGGAGGAGGAGCATTGCCAGTCCGAAGACGGAGGGGATCCTCGGTCGGCCGACCGCGCTGGGCTCGAGAAGCCCTCCGAGAACCAGGTCGGCCGCCGGACCCCCCTGTCCACGCCTGCTGGGGCGCTGAGCCCTTCCGGCCCTTCCGATGTCAGGCACCTGGTCCGGGTGGGGGGGAACATGAAGAGGTCGCTAAAACTGCTTGAGTTGCCCAGCGGCGTGCCCAGCTCATCGGCAACAAGTGGCAACATCCACGGGCCCATCCTGAAGGAATCCCATCCGCCGTTTGGTCGCGGGTGGTTTGGCGAGGTGGTTCTTGCAACCTTCTCTCCCTTCGGGGAAAGGTTCACGTGTCTCCCTACCCCCTCTTCCTGGGCCTGGAATCCTCACCCCGCGGGCCGTTGGAGGGCCCAAGATGGCTCAATGATGGCCCCACATGGCCCTAGATGGCACAGACAGATCGATCGGGTAGATACCAGCGGGCGCGTCGGGAAGGCGGGCCCAGGCGGCCAGGTCGAGCAGGCGGGTTGCTGAAGCGTGCGACCTGAGGAAATCCACAGCGAGAGCGGGGTTCCTGAGAGTCGAGGGCGCGGCGTCTGCATGAATTGCGAGGAAGTCCCACGCGAGAGCGCGATCCCTGTATAAATTGTGAGGACCTCCCGCGTGAAAGCGCGACTTGGGAAGAAATTGTTTTTTCCCGAAAACGGAAAACCGCTGTTTTTGTAAACCGGGGGCCCGGGGCGCAGTTTGGTGACACCTTACTTTCCCTTGCAAGAAGCCGGGCGCGAGCCCCGGGATAAGCACTCCGATTCAAAAATACGACGGTCACCCGGCAAGGCGATCACCAACTAATACTTGTCAGAAGTGATGATTCAACAATTACAACAGCAACAGCAACAGCAACAACAACAACAACAACAACAACAACAACAATTACTAGCACGTGGGGACACTCCGTTCTCACCAGTGCCAGGGTTTTCATAGGAGGCGGGCAATACCCCCACTTTGTGGGGGGGCCGGTTCAAGCTCTACCAAATTTCCAAACGACTCTTCGCCACCACCCACACCCAGCTTCCCGCCCTATGACGTTCGGACACTTCACTTCGTGGCATGCGGACGACCGTGGCTACTATTCAGGGCCCCGCGGCCGACGACGACGGCGTGCGCGCGCGAAGAAAAAACGAATGTGTCCCGCATGGTATTATTTGACAGGGATGATGGCCCTGGCAGGTGCGCAACCGTTGTCGCAGAAGTTCGAAAAAGTTGCTCGCAAAAGCCCGTTTGACAGAAATGTTTAAAAAGTGTTGGGTTTCCTACGAATCCGCAAGAGCGCGCGGGATGAGATTTTGACAATTTTTTGTTGAAAAACCATTGGTTTTTTGATGTTTTTATGTTAAAATCGCTGCGAACACTAAGCTTTTGGAAGGATTTCGTCTTGCGCGCGCGAATGTCCACTTTACCTTATTTTTTGCAAGGGATTCTTGAAATTTGATTATATTAGAACAAGAAATGTCATTTTATAGTGTTTTTTGCAAGGGAAAGCGGGGGGGAACAAAACAACCGGATCTTGATCACATCGAATTACCTGAGGCTTCCTCACGAAAATGATGAAAATGTAGCTGCGGCCTAGGCGGCGCAGGGGGGCCGTGCACCAGGGGTCCCAACAATAATTATTCTTTAGAATTAATAATGTTCAACAACAACAACAACAACAGCCGGCACAAATGACAGCTGCGCCAGCAGCCTCTCGCGCCTGAAGGTGCTGCACCCTCTTGACAAGGGGCGCGGCACCCCCCGCGCTGCCCAGCCCGGCGAACCCAGACTGAGCCGACGCGCGGGGCGCCAGGGATGCAAGTGCCCCCAGGAGAAGGAGGGCGGGGCGAAAAAGCGCGCCGTCTGAGACGGCGACGCGCAAGGCGCCAGCGCCTGCGACGAGCGCGACCCCGAGGCCCACCCCGATGGGGCCCCCGCGGCGCGCCAGAACCGAGCGGCGCCCACGCGCGCCAGGACTGAGCGGCGCCCATGGCGACGCAACACGAACAGCAGCGCACGCGCGCGCACCGCGCGCCGCCGCCGCCCCGCGCGCGCGCGCCCTTCTCGCGGGGCCGCGCGCAGCGATGAACAAACAAGGCGCCGCGCGCGCGCAAGCCCTTCACGCGGAGCCGCGCGCCGCGAGGCACGGGGGAGCGGGAGGCGGCCCGAGCGCGCATCTCACCCGCCCGCGCGCGGGCCAAGGGCGCGGGCGCGAAATTTGCGTCTGTGCGCAACGCACCTCTTCAGAGAGCGAGCGCCCTTACGATGGCTTTGTGCGCCCGCCGCGAATTTCAGCCGCGCCAACAGCCTCCCGCGTCTGAATGTGCCCGCACCCTCTTGACAGAAGGCGCGGCCCCCCCGCTCTGCCTAGCCTGGCAAACCCAGACTGAGCCGACGCGCGGGGCGCCAGGGATGCAAGTGCCCCTAGCCGACGCACTCTCGCGCGCCGCGCGCGGCACGCGCATCCCTCGCAAAAACGGGCGACGCGCACGGCGGCGCCGCGCCGTTGCCGAACGCAAAGGCAGTTTACGAACGCGCGAGGGCAGCGCGCGACGCCTGGATCGCCAAAGCCTAAACCAGGTCGCCCTCAGACTCGGCCAAGCGCGCCCCCCATGATAAGAAAGCGGGCGAGGGCCGTTCGCCCGCCTGAAGAATCCCACGCCAAGCACCTCCTCTTCGCTGAGGGTCCAATGCGTGACCTCGCCGCAGGTCGCGAATCCGATAAAGCGCCGCGTCTTTGACGCCGAGCTGGCCGAGGAAGAGGCGCAGCGTGCTCCGCGAGCTCGCCGCGGCAATGTCCGCGAACGGGCAAGCGCCCACTGGCAGAGCCGCGAACCGTGAGCCGAGCGCGTGAACTGGGCGCGCCACGGTGCAGCGAGCGCACCACTATGCCCGCTGTAGCACGGATCCAAATTGCTTATTCTTGCGGCGCGCCAACTTGAGCGGCAGGAGGCCGTCGCGCAAAATCAACGAGGCCCCTGCGCCCTGGCGAACAGCGACGCCGTCGAACGAAATGCCCAATGCCTCCGAGGGGAGACGCAACAGAAAAACGTATGTGCCCAGGAATAGCTGCACGAAGACGGCGCACCCGTGCCGCCCTTTTGCTATATTCAGCAGCGCGCGCTCTGCGTCTTCCCGAATGAACAAAGGGACCCTGGGCAAGAAGGCGCCGCGCTCGCGAATCGCGCACGCGGCTCGGCGAAGAGGCGCGTCGCGAAATACGTCGACTCTCAGGCCGCAGATCAGACAAGCCAGCTCGACATGCGAAAGGCAATTCGGAAAAATCGGACCGAATCGGAAAAGCAGCGACGGCGCGAGCAACCCGTCGGCGGGCGGCGGCAGCCCCCGACCGCGCAACGCCAGAGCTTCGCGCGCGAACACGAACCACGCCGCCAAGCCGCTCTCGAAAGAAGCGATGGAGCGCGGGCGCGCGCCGAGGACAACCGCTGCGCGCTCCGAGGACAGCCGCTCGGCGACGCACGCTGAACCATCCTGGCCATCGAGCCGCCGGCGAAGATTGCGGAGCGCCGCGCGCGGGCCGCCACCCCGCTGCACCGCGGCGCGCTGGCGCCCCGCGCCATCGCAATTCTCTCCTCGAGGAGCGCATCGACGGCGGCGGCCCCGGCGGCCAGCGCCTGTCGGCGCCAGCCGCTGGGCTCGGCCTTCCACCCGCACGCGAGCGCGCGCGCGCGAAACTGCCAGATGGCGGCGCGAAGTGCGCGAGCCAGTTCGATCGACGCGAGCGCAGTAGCCTCGCGAATGCAACGCTTTTGGCCGCCGCCAAGGTTCGCGCCCTGATTCGAAGTATATTTGACTTTAGCCCCAGCGAGCGCGGGTGGGTGCGACGCGCTTTCGGCGGCCAACGCCGCCGCAGTTTCGTCGAACCACGCAGCGTCGCGCCTGCCTTGGCCCGCAGCTCTCCGCAGGAAACCGCGCGCGGTTGCCGCGTGCCCGGCCGCTGCCGAAACGACGCGGCGCGCGCCGAGCCGACGGGGGCTTCCGCCGGGCAATGGCGCGGCGCCAGCGACGCGCGGCCGCGCCATGGAAACGCCGCGCTCGGCAACGCGACGCACGCGCCTGGGCCGCGCCCAATGCCGGAGCGGGACAACTTGGCGCGCGAGCCGACCTGTCGTCTGACAAGTGCTCGCGCGCGACGCAGCGACACACGCGCGGCCGATAGCGACGCCCGCGCAACGGGGCCCCAGCCGCTCGGGCGCGGCCGAATAAAGGAGACCCCGATTTCCCCTGGCAGCCACCAAGTCCCCCACGAAGGCACAGCGGCCACGTTTGCTCTGAGGGCGCGTGATCGACGCGGAGCGAAACGCGCAAGCGCGCCGCCTGCAGCCACAACGAATTCATGAGACGCGCATAATCCCATTCCTTCAAGGAGCCCTTTCACGCAGCAGCCTCGGCACCTACGTTACAAGACCAGAGGCGCGAGCGTCTGCCCGCAAGCGCGCCGCTGAACGAGGAAGGGCCAAACGCGATCGCAAGCAGCTCTAGAGACACGATGCGCGCGTCGCCCCCCCTCTTGAAACGGCGCAGGACGCAGTCGAGGGGGGCCCGGTCTGAATAGAAGGCCTGCCCGTCGAGAAAGAGCACTGCTGCGACGCGGGGCGGCGCGCTGCGCGCGTCGACGAAAAGCTGCGCCGCCTCGCGCCGGCCAGGCATCCAGGCCCGTGCCTCGCACAGTTCTAGCGCGAGGACTTCTGCCCACCATTCGAGCGCGACGCGCAATTCTTGCGACGCCG